CTAAGTAGGGTAATCTTTGATTCGTAAAAGATGAATTGTATGTATGAAATGAGGAGTTTAGTGTCTTTTAGAATTTCTTCTCTCTCTCTTTGTCTGCCTGTTTGTCTGTCCTTCTCTCGCTTTCTCTCTATATCTCTCTTCCCTTCTCTTTCTATCTGTCTCACCCTTTCTTTATCAGCATGTTTGTCTGTCTATCTGCTTATATCTCTCCTTCTTTCTTTGTCTCTGTTTGTCTGTCTGTCTCCCCCCCCCCTCTCTCTCTCTCTGTCTCCCCCCCCCCCCCCCTCTCTCTCTCCCTCCCCCACCCCCCACCCCTCTCTCTCTCTCTCTGAGTGTTTGCCTGTCTGTCCATCTCTGTCTGTCACAGAATAGACTCGAAAGAGAATGATAATGATAATGCTAACGATAATTTTAATAGTAATGATAATGATGATGTTAATGACAATAATAATGATGATGAAAATAATAATAATTATAATGATAAAGTAATAACAATAATACTAATGATAATGATAATAATAATAGAAATAGTAATAATGATAACAATGAAAATAATAATGATAATAATAATGATAATGATAATAACAATAATAATAATAATAATCGCAATGATATTAATAATAATGATAATAACGATGATAAGAATAACAAAAAGGTAATAATAATGATAATCACATAAATTATCTATATTATACTTTTACTGCGAACATTTGCCTGCGGACATGACTTTCCTTTATTTTGATGTAAAGTAAATAAGTTATACCTGGAATCGTATCCCACGTAACTGCGGGTTTGGAGTCATCTGGGTGTAAAATGGGCTGGTGATTGACAACAGAAAGATTAAATATGATACATACGCACTCGCACGCGTATTTCGAACCCATGAGATTCCTTCATCATCATCGTCATCAACATCATCAACTTCATCATCATCATTATCATCATCAACTTCATCATCATCATCATCATTATCATCACCTCCGTTGTCCTCCTCTTCCTCCTCCTCCTCATCATCATTATCATCACCTCCCTTGTCATCCTCCTCCTCCTCCTCATCATCATCACCTCCATTGTCTTTCTCCTTCTCCTCCTCCTCCTCATCATCAACTTCATCATCATCCTCATCATCATCATCATCATCACTTCCATTGTCCTCCTCCTCCTCCTCCTCATCATCATCATCATCATCACCTCCATTGTCCTCCTCCTCCTCCTCATCATCATCATCATCACCTCCATTGTCTTTCTCCTTCTCCTCCTCCTCCTCCTCATCAACTTCATCATCATCCTCATCATCATCATCACTTCCATTGTCCTCCTCCTCCTCATCATCATCACCTCCATTGTCCTCCTTCTTCTCCTACTCCTCCTCATCATCATCATCACTATTACAGTGCTGTTGTTAGATTTCTTCTTCAAGACAAGCACACTGCAGTGAAGTAGTTAGAAGTAGTCAGTTTCTGCACATTTATAATTTACACGACTATCCGAGGGGGAAGTTAAGAAGGAAGGTACGAGTGGAAAGGGAAAAGAAGGGGAAGAAGAAGAAGGGAGAAGGAGGAAAAGAGAGGGGAATGGGGAACAGAAGAGAAACGAGGGAAACTTAAAGAAAAAGAGGATAGGTAAGGGAAAGGAGGGAGGAAGGAGAAAGGAAAAGAGGCTGAGAGGAAAAATGGGGTAATGGGAGAAGAGAAGCAGACGAGAAAATAGCGAATAGGGGGGGGGGGGGGGGTATGGAAGAAGAGGAGGGAAGTGGGAGGGGCAGATGTAGGGCTGATAATAGCTTCATCGACAACAGTTATATGAAAGATATCACAGCAAGTTAACAACGACTTCTGCCCTTTCAAACGACAACAATAATAACAAAATAACAAGCGATTTCTGGCAATCTTTTTTTGTTCTCGTGAATTAGGACTTGAGTTTGCTCTGAATATTGAAAATGTTGATCCAAGAGTAATGCTAATTAGCCTTTTCAATTGCAAGTCAAGATCCCTCGTGTGTCGATGCAATATGAGTGGAGAGAGAGAGAGAGAGAGAGAGAGAGAGAGAGAGAGAGAGAGAGAGAGAGAGAGAGAGAGAGAGAGAGAGAGAGAGAGAGAGAGTAATAAAAGACTATATATATGAAGAGAGAGAGAGAAAGATAGAAAGAGAGATAGATAGATAGAGAACTAGACAGACAGATAGATAGATAGCGAAACAAAACAAACTAGAACCAGACAAACAGAGAAACAAAGAGAGACAGAGAGAGAGGAAAAGAGAAAAGACAAAATAAAATCTTTCTGTCGCCAGTCATAGAAACCTTTTCAGGGCAACCACACGGCAATAACACCTTAAGCCTAACAGAGCAACAGAACAGCTTCTTGGCCGATAATTGTTAATAATGTCAATTCACTATTTCTTTCTTTTTCATCATTTCATTAATGGATGTTTATTTTTTGGGCATTTTTATTATCATTGCTGTTCCTATTATTATTGTTAGTTTTATTACTATCATTATTATTGTTATTGTTATCATTATTATCATTGTTATTATAATTATCATTATCATTATCATTATTATTATTATTGTTGTTGTTATTATCTGCTTGTATTAACAGTAGTAATAGTAATAATAATAATACTGATAATAATAATAATATTGATAATAATAATAATAATGATGTTGATAATAACAGTAATAATAATAATAACAATAATGATAATGATAATGATGTTGATAATAACAATAATAATAAAAATCATAAATAATAATGATAATGGTAGTAATGATGATGATTATAATAATGATAATAATAATAATTATTATTATTATGATAATGATAATAATAATATTAATAATAATAATAATGATAATAAGAAAAGTAATAATAACTAACAACAAAGATAATGATGACAATAACCATAACATCAACAACAGCAAAAATAAGAATAACAATAACAACAGCCTTCGCATATCACGGCCGAATAACCCGAGAGGCTGATAAAATGCAGCAGATGAATTGAATTGATAAAATGTTTAATACGTTTGATTTCCATCGCGTCGTCAACACAAAGAACACGGAATTAAAAAAGTGGGGAATTTTCGGGGGAAAGGGGTTGCAGTGGGGGTGACAGGGTAGGTGAGGGGGGGGGTAGGGTTTTGATAGGGTAGATGTGAAATTTGTGAAATTTGAACGAGCGGTTATTACTTTCCAGAAAAGAAGGAATATATATATATACACACACACATATATGTGTATGTATATATATATGTATATGTGTGTGTGCGTGTGTGTGTGTGTGTGTGTGTGTGTGTGTGTGTGTGTGTGTGTGTGTGTGTGTGTGTGTGTGTG